CTTATTAACTTATTGTGAACAACGTATGATTACAAGGACAATTGTCTCGATGAAATCCTATAATTATCTAATTGATGTCTACTACCTAACCTATAATTAATAGATTGTTATTACTTCTTAACATCAAAATTATCCGCTGTTCCATTCCGAAAGAACAGACACAGAAGTTGAAAAATTATAAATACAATTTACCCAACTCTAATTCTATCCTCAGCTTCAATTAATATACGGTAGAAATTTCGAAATCGAATGTACAATTACGCTTAATGTCTGATTTTCCTATATATAATTGTATTTGCCGAAAAAGAAATACTCCTTTCCGTCATTTAACAGTTTTTCCTCCATAGATCATAAGACAATAGCGTTTAAAAATGTTATTATACACTAGTATACCCTTCAAATCTGTCAACAACCTTCTATGTCATATAATTAAGACAGGATCTTTACTTTCTTCCATTAAGATATCCATTTGATCAGAGAGTGCTAGTTTACGGTGCCATACTGTGCTGTTTTATTGAGAAATAATTATTACTATTCACTGAAGACTTTTGCAATATCTATTTGTTGCAGTCTACATAATTAAAAATTGGCACACTAAAATTCTCAAAAATAACATGAATAGACTTAAAATGGCTGTATTCCTTATAGATTATAAATAGTAGATTTCATAAATCTTTAATTCTACATCGATAAGTATAATGTGAGATATTACGCGGTTAAAAGATTATTTTTTAACTTTTATGCGATAGTTCTATTATACAATATTTCATAAATATCATCAACCCCATCGAGAACATGGTCATCGTCCAATTTTTCTCTATTATTCTTGGAAAGTAAATTGCTTTACAAGTACGACAACAGATAACTGCAATTGTGGATTTTTATTCGATTATGCAGTGAAATGGTCTTTTATTTATAAATTATTTCAGTGCTGTATCTTGTTAGGTAACTGAAAAGATAGATACTAACTTTTATTTTTACATTAGTTGCGAGGAGATAGATTGATCAAATGGTCATATAGCTTTACCTAAAATTCAAATTAATATATTAAAATTATGCATGATTAGTAAGCCAAAAAGATAGTTTTAAACCACAATACACATCAATAGATTGAGATCAATGTTTTCATATTGGAAAGACTATACAATATCGATTACCTACTATCTAACATTTATTTCGTTAAGATACTAGAATATACTGTTATTGCAGCGTAAGTAATGCGAATATTTTCTTTAATTATAATTACAGGGTGGAAGTAAATAGTTTCTTTTCACTATTTCACTCAAACTGAACGGTTAAAATTCACAGCTATATTAATCAGTCGATTTTGTCTCTCGTTAAAACTTCATTTTGATCGGACGATGATCTTCTTTATCCTTTTAGCATTGATTTATCATAAATAATTGCAACCGATCATAAGATATGTTAATCAGTTAAGATTTCATAAGACTGTTTTATTACATTAGTAATAACCGCATTCCCTGATACGATATTGATATATAGCTTTAACCATGGAAATTAATTTCTAGTTCTATCTATTGAGGTTCAGTCAACTATCATGCGTAGAGTACCCCCTATGTCGATAAAAGGAACATATGAGTACATCGACTAAATTTAAAACAAATATAAACCTACAACAGTCCATAATGGATCTATTACAATACGTGACCAGATTGAGCTTTTAGACTGTAATTTAAAGCATCCGAATTTTAAGAATGAGGGATAGTAATGGCCAAATGAATAGCAGTTGGATACTTTATTAAAATAATTTGAATATTGATTTCAATGCGGCACTAATGATAAGATATTAGACAATTTAATTTGAAAAAAAGACATGACTGATTGAGAGGATAGATATGGCAAATTAGATGCCAACCTTCCATTAATTAACCAACGGTGCCATATAAATTAATTGTTACGGTGATTATCAGAACGGTACAGTTAAAGGAAGACTTCAGATTGATTATCTGGTAGAGCAGACTAATATAGATACATAAGAGGATGTTTTACTAAGATTTTAGAGCTGCTTTGTTGAAAATGGAATATAATCCGTAAATGATTAACATTTTCTTCAAATAATTCACTCCTGAATCAGCTATTAAAAAGTATCATTATTTTCGAAAGATATCGATCACTACTTATTTAATATAGATAAATATCCAATTTTTAATGGCTTTAATTTGAACAAATCTCCATGTTATCGTTCTGTTAATTCAATTCTGTTATCAGTAATGGTCATTTCGGTCATTATCTAACTGATGCTAAAACAAATAGTAAAGAAAATATCGTAGATAGCTATAAATCTATTTCAGCCGATTAATATTTCAGTAATTTCAATTTCAATTTATTTGTAGTTATCGTTATTTGTGCTTCTCCTCCGGATGTACGTGAAATTTTAATCATAGCCAAACAGCTTCGTATGTTAAATGGACAATACGTCTTCTTAACATCTAAAGTTCGAGCTGAAGATCGATATACCAATAGCTCCAGTTATGCATCGGTTTCTTTCTCGAATACATCACAGATATCATCAATCAACGAAGTATTTCAAGGTTTATTGACTCTCCGAATCTATGATCCACCAGATACGAATACAAGTTCACCATTTAGCATCTTTTCTGATCGCATAAGGTCTAGGTTAAATCTATCCTATGATGCTAAGGCAAGTTTAAATAAAATCTAACTTTGTCATTCTAAAATTATGGTCAACTCTACGTTCATATTATTGCTGAAATTTGTCAATATCATAGAAAGATCTAATTACAGGATTAAACTCTTTATTCATAGATAAACTGACATGATGATAATTTCAAAATATTCACGTCTTATAATAATCTCTATTCATTCTTTGATTTCTTTAGATTGATTACTATGCATCCACCATTTATGATGCCATCTATCTTTACGCTTGTGCTGTCACTTCAGCCTTACAAGCTAATGAAACTAATATAAGAAATGGAACCATGTTACAGAAGTATATAGGGAATCGGCAATTCCAAGGTGATTCAATTTACTACAATTATTCCATTCTAATATATACTTAATCTACCAATGAGCTTTAATCTATGTATTCCATTTATCTCAATGTTATTTTAGGAGCATCTGGTGAAGTTCGAATTAATAAACATGGCGATCGCCAAGCCATTTGGACAATTTTAAATTTTCGTGACAATCAATTTTATCCGATAGTCGATTATTTACCATGGCTATCCAATATCAGTTTGTCGTTCAAAATTCGCGATCTTACAGTAATCTGGCCTGGTAATACTTCAGTAGTACCACCAGGTCGGCCTGGTTGCGGATGGCGTTATGAACTCTGTCAAACTAATAGTAAGTAAACTCGCATAAGATTTGCTTATTGTCTACTAACAGCTAATTATTATCTATGGATAAAAGTGTATTAAGACGAAAGATAATTTACGAATATCCATTCTGTACTTGAGAATTTAAATTAGAATGAAAATGTGTATTATTAAAATGCTCTTACAACATAAGCAATATTCTTGGCTATGGTTCATAAAATTTTAACTAATAGTCTATTAAGATGAAAGCTAATAGATTTAGATATGCAAATATTATAATTATACTAGAGAGTCTTGAATTAGAACTAAATTTTAATTTTGAACTTGCTGTTAGAATATCAACAAAATTCTTTGTGATATTAGATCTAGTTTAAATCTTATTTCGGTAATTTTTGTCCGAGTTTACAACTACCTCTTTCGACTTTAATAGATCCTGTAAAAGGTTGACCTGATTGTTATAATTATCCTTAACTGTATTGCTATTCCTTTACAGTTATAATCGGATGCAGCGTTACATTAGTTATTCTTTTCCTTGGAATACTTTGCTTTGTATATTACAAGTAAGTCTGCTGAGATTGAACTGAAGAAATTCTAACAGTTGTAGTATATTGATATATGATTTCACTGATCTTATATTAAACCTAAATAATTACAGTAAATGACTACCGAAATATTGTAAAATAACCATTGGACTTGAAAATAATTTTTAAAATAGAAAAGTTAGGTATGAAGATGCTGTCAATAAAAAATCTTGGGAAATAAACGAAGTCGATATGATCCCAATTCATTCTAAGGCTGCCCGTGGAAGTTACCTTCATTTACGAATGAAAACCCCCAATAGCACGGTAAGTGGATACACGTATCCACGCCATCATAGCTATGTTTCTTGTTCAAGACAAAGAGGAATGCTAATTATTAAAGTTTATACTTCAGTAACTAATTACTGATTTATCTTCACTGCTACCTTATAAAGCTTATGCTATCATTAGCTCCGTATTCCACAATATACCTACAAGTGTTTTTTACTACTACGGATATGCTCTCATAAAACGTTATTATTAATCCAATGGCTTTGCCAATTGAGTATATTTTCATACATTAAAAATCGATGACTTTAATATCCGTTATGGTTTCTTAAGTTGCTTAGGTCGGAGAATGGTATTTTAAGTACCGATTTTGGATTGATTTTGTTTTTCGTAGTTCATTAGCTGACATTTAATTTCAACCACAATCAGTTTTGTACATGGAGAAGAAATTTGCCTTATATTTTTAACGTAATGGACAAGATGAGAAGAATAATCAAAACCTTATTTATTTAATGACTTCTCAGCAGTCTTTCACCATCATCTTATGATTTTTAATGAAAGGCTAACCTGCTTTAACTTTATTATCGTGATCATGCTATAGACCAGCGTACAAAGCGGTGCAGATGTAAGAAGTCTAAGTTCTCAGGCTAGTGGACCAGTGACCCAAATCTTTACCACTATCAAATCCTATAAGGTAGGCTAAATAAATATGGGTTTACCTTTGGCATAGAAATCTTCAAATATGTTAAAATTAGTTGATACTGGTGTCATTCGTGAGCATCTTATTAATTTTTTATTTAAATAAAGCAATCTATAAGTTAAATCATAAGTTAATGTGATTTCTAAAATTAACATAATATGAAATCATTTGGCCTTATTTCGATTGTTCTAGGGTGAGCTAGTTGCCATTAAAGAATTTCTTAATCCGAGCGCCAAGGTTTCACTGTCACGTTCAACGCTAGTTAAAATGAAGCAGGTTAGGGCTTAATACTAACTTGAATATTTAAAATAGGATCTATTCACTCATAACGTTGATTTTTGAACATAGTTAAGAGACATGCAGCATAATAATGTTAACACAATTTTGGGTGCATGTATCCAAAAAGATCGTATTCGACTAGTGACATTGTATTGCACTAAAGGTAGCTTACAGGTTAGTTCTTCAATTTGATTTTTAAATCTTGTTTTCATCCTTATCCTTCGAATAACATTTTGAATTGAAACTATATTATCCATTAGGATGTATTGGAAAATGATAATATTAAACTCGACAACAGCTTTAAGTTGTCTATTGCAACTGATATTGCAAGAGTAAGTTCATGGAAATGTTTTATGGAAATTTATTTATAATAGCTTATCTTGATATACAGTTTAAGTTAACAGCCAATTACCTTAAAACTACGCCCAACGCGGAGTAAACACGGCCATAGTCACATGGATTGTTTCTACAGTGGACATAAGTAAAAATATAAAGTAATAAACTAAAAGAACGAAACTGATAAGCCCAAGTATTTATTTATACTTTAGATGATACTGGATAAGTTTTTTATTCAAGTTAACTTCAAATTTCCCCTTCCATTCTTTCACATGAGCTCTATTAATGAATGCACTGCCTATTTTATACCACACATAGAGAGTGATATTTCCTTACTGTAATGAAAGTGAATTGATTTTTTATTACATTAAACAGTTTTCAATATTCGGTTGGGTTATAACCATAATATTGAATATACTATAGGTATATCTTGATATCGTTGGTATGTTAAAAATTGATATTTTCGATTTATTAGGGTCTTCATTATATTCATGGCAGCCCTATACTATTCCATGGTAATTTAAAGTCGTCTAATGTGGTTATTGATAGCCGCTGGGTATGTAAATTAACCGACTTTGGCGGATTTCATGTCAAATTTGTTAGCGCAAATGGAGAAGCAGGAGAATATGCGGAATACTCTAGTATGTAACCCCCTTCAAATCAATCATAGAGTACAGTACAGTATATTTATATTGGCTATTTGCATATTAAAAGTAAACGTAAACTCTACTATCACTTAGAATTGTTATGGACCGCTCCTGAGCATTTAAGAGGTAATAAATTAGGTTCTGTTAAAGGAGATATCTATAGTTATGGGATGATATTACAAGAAATTATTTTGCGAGGTTTACCCTTCTGTACCACCAATTATACTCCAAAAGGTTTGATTCGTTTAAATCTGTATAACAATACTGTGAAAAATGTATTCATTGCGAGACAATGTAAACGAATGATTGCTTACATTATGTCGAATCATATACTTTCAGAAATTATCGACATGGTAATAGCAAGAGTAGATCCTCCTTTTCGACCTCAAATTCCCGATGGAGAATGTTCGGATGATATGCTGCGCTTGATGCAAAAATGTTGGAGACATGATCCATTAAGCCGTCCAACAACGCAAGTGATACAAAAAAAATTAGTTGCCATGAATAACGGCAGGTAAAAAGAGTTTTATATGTACAGTAATATTCATAAACTTTCTGAGTAAACCCTTATCCTGTTATAGTTTCATTAGTTGATTGATGAGTTTTAAGTAATTTTAGGATAAACATCATCATTCACTTTAAAGCAACATAAGTTATCACGATGATGGCTGCGACCTTTGAAATATTTCAAATTGTTCAGAAGTAACGCTAAAATAAATAACTTCCTTTTCATCGCAGATTTTTGGTTTTATTTTTTTTGCTTTACTTCAGTGATTCTGTCAGTTACCTCGGTTATAAATTTGAGGATGCAATCTATTTAGTACGTTAATCAATAAAATTTTAATAAGCGATAGGCTTTATGCTAGGCCTTTACAGTATGAGAATATTATTGATTTAATATAGATCTTGAATTTTAACATATTAATTTGGTTTCGGTGAACTTTAGAGCATGCTATGCCTTTACGATACACGGATACTACTGGCTTTAGTATAGTTCTTAAATTTTTTATGTTGATTTGGAGCATTCCATTTCATCATTTAACAATGAATTAGCATTCAAAATAATACATCAGATTCTGGTCCATATATTATTAATGAGATCTCTTGTTTCATGGAATCATAGTAGAATAATTCCTAACTCTCATTTCTAAATAAACGTGCTGTATGATCTCGTTTATTTTGATAGATTAAACTTACTGATACGAATTTAATAAACTGTAAATTAAGAAAAATGATTGTACTGTATGACAGGTCAATCAATATCATGGATAACATGCTGAAAATGATGGAGAAATATGCCAATGATCTAGAAGATTTAGTTGCCGATCGCACTCGAGAATTAAATGAAGAGAAGAAAAAGACTGATGAACTTCTCTATCGAATGTTACCTAGGTAAATATTTCAAAGTAATCCAGTCAGTGAAATAGCAACAACAGTATTTCTTTTAATCCTTTTGCATGTTCAAAAATAGGATTGTTGCCGAACAATTGAAGAAAGGCCAAACGGTTACCGCAGAATCATTTGAACAAGTGACCATCTTTTTTAGTGATATAGTCGGTTTCACGGCTTTGGCAGCTTCTAGTACACCTTTGCAAGTGGTCTCATTACTTAATGATTTATATACCTGCTTTGACAATGTAGCAGACATGTATGATGTCTATAAGGTGATGAGATATTTTAAAGCCTTTGTAATATGTATACTAATAGAATGATGGAAAAAGTGATCGAAAATCGTAGCTTTTAACCTAATATTATTGTCTATCTGCTGTATAATGGCTCAAAGTCTATTTGAGAAGCTTACAATAGTGTGTAAGCGTAAACCAATAGAATGGTGGAGAAAATAATCGGAAACCGTAATCTTTAATTTGATATTACTGTCAATCTATTATATAACACCTTAAAGCCTATTTGAGAAGCTAAGCTGTTTGAAATAATAATACTGTATTAAAGTTAAGCTTGATATTATAGGTAGAAACAATTGGTGATGCATACATGGTGGTATCCGGCTTACCAATTCGCAACGGAAATCGGCATGCTGGAGAAGTTGCTACTTTCGCATTAGATCTTTTACATTGTGTACGCAATTTTCAAATCCCCCATATCCCCGGCAAACAACTACAACTGAGAATTGGCTTGCATTCAGGTAAATCACTCCTCCAGTTAAACAACCTTAGCTGTTCCAAAGCAATGCTGTACTTATTTTAAGTTGATGTTGGTTACTAAGATCCTTCTATTTAAATCACGTTGATAGTATAGTCATTTACGAGTTAAGGATATAGCGAAATTTTTATAGATCTAACCCTAAACCTATCGAAACGATTAACTCAATTGCAAGGGAATTTGCTTAAGTTCACTGTTGCATTAATGAGTATGTTTAGAGAGGACGTGCGAAATCATGAGTTTTGATAGGGTAGCGTAAGTAATGTTGAATTTCATCTATTTTATTTATAGGACCTTGTGTAGCTGGTGTTGTGGGTCTAAAAATGCCACGATATTGTTTATTTGGAGATACTGTTAATTATGCATCACGCATGGAATCGAGTGGACTTGGTATTTCATTGCGATAGAGGAATACTAGTCTAGTATAGAAATAGAGTATTGAAATGATTAATAATTAATAAATATTTCATTTTTATTTTGATTTAGCGTTAAGAATTCACGTCAGCCCAGAATGCGGTAACATATTAAAGGAAGTTGGTGGTTATCATTTACAATTACGTGGTGAAGTCTCCATGAAGGTAATATTTGGTTAAAAAATAGAATTTCTATCATTACTAATAACATTAATACATTAGTTTTTTAAACTAATATTAAGATAAATGAGTTGTTAGTAGCCATAACTATTTCCCTTTACTTTTTCAATACCATATTACTGGAACCTACATTCACTTTCCATCGAATGATTTTCATTTCTGCTATAGGGTAAAGGTACTATAACCACTTACTTCTTAACTGGTAAGGAAAATTTTAATAAATCTCTGCCTGACTTAAGTCAAGCAGCCGGTTTAGAAGATCATACATTCAAGTAAACGGTATTAAGAATGACAACAGAATATTTTTCTCTCGCAAAAAGATATATTTACTACTGTATTGTTACTAATATTGACGGAAGATAAGCATAGGCTCTTCTTGCGATATTGTATAAATTGAATGTCTCCTCTATTAGTTCAATTATTAAATAGACATATTCGATCTGATAGAATAAGCGAGTCTTTGTAAAATTAGCGTGTAATTGCCTACAATTTTGCAACTTAACCATGATTGTATTTATTCGATACCTTGAGTATTTATAAACCACTATAAAATTTGAATATTACAAAATTATCTATATCAGAAAACAGCACTCATTATTATCATTAGAATATATAGGCAATTGCGTAGATTTACTATTTATAAATTGTTACCAAATAGAATATTGTAAGGCTATCTACGCAAGAAGTAATATTTTCGCAATAGCTAGAATATATTTATAACTGCATAGATAAATCATATACTGTAATAAGTCGTTTGCAGATGGGCTAGTAGAATACTCGTAGAAAAGTTCACATGCCTTTAACAAATGGCCTCGTTATGACAACTGGAATTCATATTACAACTCTCGTATACAGATATTGTGTAAATCACTACCAATGATCTATTAGAATATTGACTACGGGTATATTAAGAATAACTAAATGATGCCGGTAGTTTTGTGTTGATAGGGTTATTCCTGTCATTGATATTAGCATAATACTTGTAGCTGTTTGTTATAGAGCCTTGATTTGTTTGATATTATGCTATTGAAACAGGGCTTCTCTTGTAATGAACACTATTAAAAATTCGACTATTTACGAAGAATCATCTTTGCCGATTACTATTGTCTCGCTAATTATTAATCAGTATAATATTAAGGAGCATATTTCTCGAACAAGTTCATGGTTCAATCTCTGAGATGTAGAAGGAGAACCTGCTTACAATTGTAATATACAATTAAGTTAGCATTTCTCGTAAAGGGAATTTATGACAGTATGTACCATAAAACCTACGTGTACTATTTCGTAGCTGTCGGCTTAACCAAGAGTACTCTAAATAAAGCTACATGTAAAGCAGCGACGGTCCTTCTTCAAATAATAAAAAATAAAGAAGGATTTAATCTTTAAGAAACTAGCGGTACAGTATATCATCAGTATTATTTTAGGCGTAATCCAACTTTTCAGAGATTTCGCAGCGTTTACATACTGTCTGCTACAGTCTGCTATATAAAGAAGAATTTAATCTTGAAGATATTAGCGGAAATAAGAAGAGTAACAAGAATCAAGTAGTCTTTGACTCCTTGTAATAAATCTACTGTACAGTACAGTATATCATCAGCATTATTTTGGGCGTCGTCCAACTTTTGCAGCGTTTTACATACTGTCTGCTCAGTCTGCCATCTAAAGAAGAATTTAATCTTGAAGATGCTAGCGGAAATAAGAAGAGTAAATAAGAATCAAAGTAGCCTTTGACTCCTTGGAATAAATCTACTGTACAGTACAGCATATCATCAGCATTATTTTGGGCGTCGTCTAACTTTTGTAGCGTTTTAAATACTGTCTGCACAGTCTGCTATCTAAAGAAGAATTTAATCTTTAAGATACTAGCGGAAATAAAAGAGTAAATAAGAATCAAGGTAGTCTTTGCCTCCTTGTAATAAATCTAGTGTACATTATATCATCAGCATTATTTTGGGCGTCGTCTAACTTTTGTAGCGTTTTACATATTGTCTGCACAGTCTGCCTAAAGAAGAATTTAATCTTGAAGATACTAGTGGAAATAAGAAGAGCAATAGGAATCAAGGTAATTTTTTGACTCCTTGATTTAAATGGACAGTATAATCAACACCATTTTAAGCGTCGTCCAACTTTACCGAGATTTTGCATCATTCTGTATACTGTCTGTTTAATTTTATAGACTGCATTGGACAGCGTATAGCAGGGGGTAAAGCCTAATAGGAAATCTTTGCAAGCTAGAAAATGCAGTCCTTACCCAACCGGGGAGGAATACATAGAGTACAGTATGCTCCATATTGCATGTTTCGAACATACTACTGTCCTATGTATATTTCTACTATAGTGATAGTACGCGATAGTTACTGTTGCCATCGTCATTTTAACTTCGGCTGGAGTGGAGGCTACCCAAGGAATTGATTCATGACATCATTATTATTATTATTAATATAATTCTTCATAAAATGTTAAAATGATGGAGCGATTGAGGAAAGGATCATTACATACAACTCGTTTGCTCCTTCATGGTAGGAAATTATCCACTTCTGTCAATATTAGTAGCAGAAGGGTTGTTGTAACTGGATTAGGTAGGTAGGTTAGCTAACGATGGAATGTTAATATGTAAATTGCTCTAGATGTCAAGGCAAATTCTATAACTCAATACCTCTATGATGGGAGAAGATTTACATGCCACTCAGTGTTGTTATCAGTTTTGGTTACACTATGCTGTTTTACCATACAAACAAGGGTTAAATGTATGTATACCGCCAAGACTAGCAAGTAGATTCCTTCTCTATGCCTAGACAGACAGTTGCAGAATTATGAAATGGAATCGTCTTTGGCTACAGTAACTCCTCCACAATCTCTAGGTAGTTCACAGATGGAGTGAATGGGTTTCTCTGATTGCCGTTGGAGTGTGTATTAACTCTAGTCTATCGTAACAATAAAATTAGAATATCCAGGTTTACTCTAAACTTGCAATTTACAAATAGTAGCTTGATGAAGTAGTATGTGCTGCATTTATCAAATATCAGTATTTCACCTACTCTACAGCACTGTACAGTATGTAAATGACCGTGTTAATAAAGCGTACACATTTCCAGACCTACAGTACATACGGGTATATTTCTTCACTTAAAGTCAGAAATCACTAATGGCGATATTAACAACAATATACGAGCTACCTTACAATAGTTTACTATAATTTTTTAATTGGCGGTTGACGTGATACTACTGTACTTTACATTGGGTTAACGTACGAGTAAACATTAATGTCGCAAAACAGGCGAAGGTGATATATAATCGTACAGACATGCAATAAGCATCGATTAATTACATACAATGACTTTGATGCTACCATAAATGATAACTCTTTTTAATTACTTTCGATAATACGCTTAAGGATTGGTAACGCCTCTTGGTGTAGGAACTGAAATAGCCTGGAAACGATTAGTAGATGGAGCGTGTGGAATAACTTCAATCGATTCTAGCTTAGTAAGAGTTATTCATAAAATGGGTTAATGTTAATGCAAAATTGAATAACAATGAGATAATGTAGAATTGTAAATTTTTCAATCGATAAGCCCGGATTTGATGCGTTTCCTTCTCAAGTTGGTATGTTACGTTGTTATAGCGAAAATCAAATTCTTATGATAGACGCACAAATATAACTTTATCCAATGTTGGATTGAATTATTGCAATTTATCTATAATCTGTGTATATATATATATATATACTATATTTACAGTTGGTAGAGTACCTAGAGGAGAAGACAGTTATCAATTTAAAGCAGACGATTGGATTGGTCGTGGTGTAAGTGTATCTCTCTGTGATAATAGTCTAGATTTATAGTTGTTACTCTTTGAGGTTAAAGTTATATTCTTGATATAATTGACATTTCAATAGGATAAACTTACAATGACTGAAGGCATGATATTCGCTATTGCTGCAGCCCAACAGGCCTTAAAGGATGCTGATTGGATGCCAGAGAATGAAGAAGATCGTGAAAGGACGGTAAAATTATTAGGCTTAAATTATTATTTCACAAATTAAATAGTTAACCTTGAATTCATTATTATTTCATAAATTAAATCATCAACTCATACAAAACATAATTTTAATGATGTAATCTCCTAGGGTGTCTGTATCGGCACTGGTATGGCAGGTTTAGACGATATTTCTAATACCAGTAGCTTATTAAATACTCAGGTTTGCAAAAATATCCCAAGATTTTTCATATTCAAAATTGGTTTGTTGATAATTTAGTTAGCAGTGATTCAATACCGTAGGTCTATAACGCTTCAATTGTATATGTTGATTCATTTTCTTTAGGGGTACAGAAAAGTTAGTCCATACTTTGTACCAAGAATCCTTATTAATATGGCGGCTGGACATGTTAGCATGAAATTCGGATTTCAGGTAGCTATGAAAAATTAGAGATTTAATTTAGGAACTGGATTAAGAGATTACTATATTAGGGTCCAAATCATGCAGTATCAACTGCTTGTACAACGGGAGCACATGCCATTGGTGATGGTTTTAGGTTCATTAAATATGGAGATGCTGACGTAATTGTTGCTGGTGGTTCAGAAGCTTCAATTTCGCCCCTTTCAATAGCTGGATTTTGCCGGTTACATATTAGAATTTAGCTTGTATACACGTAGTTCGCAATTGTTAATTACGGTATAACCTATTTAGTGTCTATTTTATCTCTTGCACTCACTAATCCTACTATTAAATTATCGCCACAGTGCTCGTGCTTTATCGACAAAATACAATAATTGTCCATCAGCTGCTTCAAGACCTTTTGATAGAGATAGAGATGGTTTTGTTATGGGCGAAGGAGCAGGAATTTTAGTCTTAGAGGTAATTTTATAATATAAATTATTAAGCGTCTTAGTGTAGTGTGTATAACAGATTTACGTAATGGTGCAATGAAAGTATTCTTACCTGTTATAGGAATATTCTCATGCTAAGAAAAGAAATGCGAATATTTACGCGGAAATTCTTGGTTACGGCTTATCTGGTGATGCCTTTCATATAACATCCGGAAGACCTGATGGGAAAGGAGCTCTACTTTGCATGGAAAGGGCATTGCGGGAAGCTTCCATAAATATTAATAAAGTTAAATATATCAATGCGCATGCAACATCAACTCCAGTTGGTATGTTATCACAATAGAATACTTAGCCATTTAGGATCATGCAATAAACTTCAGAACTTTTATCTCACTTTAGGTGATGCTATTGAAAATAAAGCTATTAAATCTTTATTTGGTAGCAACTCTAAAGCTCTTAAAGTATCATCAAATAAAGGTTTGCAATCTATAGAAATGTGCGGTATCGTAACCATTTTCCGTACACTGTGTACTTTTAACTAAATATTTATCTTGTATACTGTAGGATCTATAGGTCATTTGCTTGGAGCTGCTGGTGCGGTTGAAGCCATCTTTACTATCTTAGCAATAAAACATGTGAGTAGACACTATTTCATTCTTAATGTACACGTATTGAATTGCAATCAGTAATTTGGCGTTGTATTCAAATTTTTAGAGTATTGCACCCCCAACACTTAATTTACACAATCTACATCCTGAAAAGGATTTTGATTTAAATTATGTCCCTTTACAAGCACAAGAATTGACTGCTAATAATGAGAGCTTGGTAGCTCTTACAAATTCTTTCGGATTTGGCGGAACAAATGCATCACTCTGTTTCTCCTCAATATAAAAAATTATGCTTACTGTACTAGTAACAAGAAAATGATAATTTAAATAAAACAAAGAATTTTACTTATAACGCAAATCGGAATTAACACCAAAAATAAGACAGATTATACAGATTACGTAATTTTGCTAAATAGAACGAATTTTTCTATATTGCATTGCTACATAAAAAGTTTACAATAATTTAGCAATCAAAGTTTGGATTAAACATTCTGAACACTCAGTCAGCAGTAGAGTATATTCTTACTCCATTTTAACATGAAACAACTTTCAGCTACTTCAGTATACATCCATATAGCAAGTAGTGATAAAAAGCTAATCAACTTTTAATATTTATTATATAGCAATATTACTGCGTTTTTGCAGGGAAGGAAAAAATAATACAGTACCAGGAAAAGAAGTAAGATAATAAAATATTTATTAACTACATTTATCGAATAGAAGATCCTCTTAGATTGAGTTGATTTTGTTGCTGGCCATCGGATACTGGGGCAGAATTTATTTGCAGTTCTTGTATTGTCGCAGCCAATCGACTGCTTTCGTCCGGTAACGGCAATGCAAGGTTCTGCATTCAGTAATAACATATCGGTTAGAGAATCATCAACAATTAATACAAATCAGGGAAGTAGTACCAATATACATGCAATATTTGACTCTAGTGCAACAAAACATCAAATTTTTTACTATACCAACCTCGCCGACGTTATATACATATACTTTGCCGTCAGCGTCTCCAGCAACCAGCTGATTGCCTGATTGCGACCATTTCAAGCAATTTAATGCGATATTGTTTGTAATTACTTCACTGTATTTGGACACCTAAACGATAGTGCAAAGAGATAGTATTTGCTATTGTTGGTGATTATTTGATAATAACTAACAAATTGTGAATTTATCCAATTTCAATAAAACCTCAGTATCCTTGTTGATGTTCCATAGGTCCAATCGGCCAGAACCATCTGCGGATGCAAATACTGCTGGGTGGATAGGGGACCATTTAACGTCATAGACGTAATCACTATAGCCTTCAAACGAATGTAAAGGTCTTGTCGCCTGCACGATATAATGTATATACAATGTTAGCAAACGTATGGTAAATGGAAAGGGATAACTATTTAAATAAAGAAAAAAATAGATTTTACCTTTTGTGTCCACAATTTAACAGACCAATCGAACGAAGACGTTAGGAATAAATGTGTAAAGTCAACCTAAGTCAAAATAAAATGTTTTACACGACACTGAGATAACTTTCTTGTACAGACTGTAAGTTGCATTTATTTTAAAGTATGTGCATTGAGTAGTTACTAACCTGAGTATTAGCGTGATGTGTACTAATTGCTGCTACCGGGGCTTGATGACTTTCAAAAGCTTCGTTGATTCCTGCTTTACTGAATATCGGTAATTACAAAGAGATCTCAGTAAACGTCTAAATTTTTATCTAATAGAGTCAATTAGATTGTTTAACATACTTTCCATGACGACTTCCAGAGTATACGGTGCCCTCCTCACTACCAACGATAAAATTATTGACATCATTGGTAGGGAAAGCCATGCAATTTACAGGAACGACCTTTTGTTTATATTGCAGTTCCATTGTATCCTGAAGTGGGATTTGACATTAGTTGTGTAAAGACCGAGTGAAATTGGAAAAAAATTGTATTTTTATATTTTACCTGAGGTTGTGATAGCATATCTAAGCTCCATGAACAAAGTTTACCATCATTACATATAGATATTAAGTTATTAGCATTTTGAGTTCCCAAGACATCAATGCAAAAGACAGGATGCTGGAAAAAAATCATTTAGTTAGGTAGGTGGTTATTTAATTTCTTATCTTTATAATGGTATACCGTATGAGCAGCAGCAGATAATGGGGTACGTTGGACAGGTGTTCGCTTGTAGCTTCTACTATCCCACAGTACCACTTGACCAGAGTGAGTACCGCCAATAACAATATTGGGATGGAATTGAGAAAAGGCGACAGACATGACAGAAGACTACAATTGGATCGTTCAGATGAAATGTAAATACTAAGAATAATACATCATCCCAGATTATGTCTTTATAAGAGATAAATTTATTACCTGGCACCGAAAGATAAACTCAGGTGTTTCTTTCTTAGCAAATTTCATATTCCATACCAATACTATGCCATCTGGTTCATGAGGGGCTTCTTCATTTTGATTATAGGCGGCAGCAATTAGCTCAGAAAACTGACACAAAAATTATATAATATCCCATGTTAAAAAAGGTTGTACAATGATATAGCGAAGATGTAAGCGTATGCATACATTTGGAGACCAGTCTATACAAGTAACAGTCCTATGTCTGGACCAATGGTCATCAAAAAACTGCCGACCCAACGTTACTCGATCTCTATCAGAAGCCATTCTATATAAAAAATAGGTACAGTTTAACTAGTTGGCAGATAATCTTATTCAATAGAACGACGAAAGCATAATTGTGAATGAAAGAAAAAGTTTATTATAGAATTAATATAATTAGAATACCCTTCTTTATCTTCATCATCTCCTCCAGTATAATCCACAAATATATCAACATCTTCAGTAATTGCTCGTTCTACGATAGTAGTTGCTCGAAGGAAAAACTTTGTAAAATCTTGAGAATTAAGAATAAGCTTCTTTTCTTCTTCTGATAATTCAGGAAGTTTAGGAGGTATATCTAATATAGTTGTTTGAGTATTAACTCTACATTAACTTTTGTTTCATCGAATATTTTCGGTAAATGATTATGGGAGATACCTTCATCTTCAATTTCTTTATTGTCCTCCTCTTCATTATTATCAGCATTTTCTTTGGATTTATTATCAGTCTCTACTTGGTTGGCTTCTTCATCATCTAGGCAAAACATAGTAGAACATGTGAGTATTCATGTCAAAAGTTCATTCTTGGGTTGTTTCGTCTATCAACCTGATGGTTCAGGCACTGGCGTTTGAGTTTCTTTGCTATACGCTACAACTTCCTAAGAATAATATAATTTGTAGAAATAACATGCTTGAAAAATAGTTATAAATGTTGATATTATTGACACTAGTATCGTAGATTGGCTAAATTACCGACCTTTGGTGCTAGGCTGGTCGTAGACACTTGGGATATTCCAAGTTTCAAATCTTTCCGTAATACTTTTCTATCAGTTTTAAGAAGAGAGAGAGAATCAAATAGCTGCATGTTATAACGTTGAATAGAGCAATGATGATATTTATCGTAACTATTTAGAATTAGAAGACAGCAATAGCAGCAGGTGAATCATTACAACTCTCATCCTATTCTAATAGCTAACCTAATTCGAGCAGTGGAAGCCGCTATAGGAGAGAAGATATAAATCATAGGATTAGAAAGAGAAGGATATTTCAGGTTAAATTGTTCGATTTCATATACAGTATAATGTATGTAGGCGGGGTAGGTAGGTAGTTGTTCCTAGTATAAAGCATGATACTTACGTTTAACTAATTCCTCATCGATACCCTTTAAGAGATTGTCGGTATCCAGTCTTTTCTTCTCTAAATCGCTACTGACACGTTGTAATTTATTATCACCATCTTGGCTATCGTTTGTTCCATTATCAGTTGTTGCTGTTACAGGCTTGGATTCGGTCGTCGAGCTTTTCTAAAGGGCCAGAATAATATCAAAAATAAAGTAAGACAATTTGACTAATATTTACGTAGATTAGTTGCTACTGCAATAGTATTAATCAATGCATCAATAAAACTGTCAAATTAGCCGATAACGACAGTTATTCATCTTATCGATGTTTACGCTAGAATAAGCCAAAGCGAGAGATACTTCAGCAGTTGTTTTTTGGCAGTGTTTGATAGTTAATAATTCATTGGTGGAGCAATCACCATTACAGATTTGTGTTTTACTGATTTTTATAGTATCGTAGTTTATGGTATACTATCGGTTGTCACGAATCGGTCGACGTATCTTGACATGTTAAGTTTTTATTCTGGTGTTAAGCACTACTATAGACCGAATTGAATGGAGATTTAAGAAAATGGATAAAGCGCATTCCATAATTGCATCGATCGTTAACAATGGTAGGTTAATATAGCACTCGATGAGGCGTTGATGTATCAGTGAAGCCGCTTTCCTTCGCCATACACGTCTACATCAACCTTGACCAACAGGTTCTTCTTTGATGACGATCGATACGATACTCTCCGACGGTATTGCAATTTTCTAGGATATCATGAATGATTCATGTTGGCATGCAAATATTATCACAATCATGATCAAAGATTTTACTTGCAAGTCGTATACAATTTACACACACACACACACACACACATATGGGAATTTCACAAGTAGAAATTGTCTATGGATGATTGGAGTTGAGCTATTTGTGGTCCATTTCTATACAAGAGAACTGATATTCAAATGGTACACAAGAGTCGCTAGTAAAAGTGGTCAATCTGATATCCTTGCATGGAATAAAATCCAGCTGCTTGTCCTATCATTGATTTTAACCAATGAGTAAGAGAAATACTCCAATTGGATACGATCCGCCATATCGCTCACATCAGCGTCACCAAGCATTTTCCTAACGTTTGCACAGCCAATCTTGCCATACTGATGATAGCAATTCAATATTTCTACTCAATCATCATCTTAATCTTTATCCAGTTACCTCAGTTTTTAATTTTGCTTTCTCTTCACGAGCTTTACGTATCTCTTCTAGGCGTTTTCGTTTTCTTTCCAACTCGGCTCGTCTGTCCGACATTTTATCACTGGTGTATAGGTTTGACACAGGCACGAATAGGAGGGGGGGGGCCTCCAGCAACAGCTTCTATACTGTACGTCTTCCCCCAATTCTCCACCACTGGTCTCCAAGCGCCGGCAACTGGATAGGATCCAATTGATACACTATAGCCAGTTGAGTCTGTCATCAAACAGTCGTTTAACGCTACTATTAGCTGGACGCTAGTCCGTCTCCTTGGGGGGGGTGCGAAATGCCCCGGGCCTCGTTGTTGCTTTTTCATACTCAATACTATAGCTGCCTATAACATCCATACTGTATCCTACAACACGCCACCAGCCCATGGACAGTGTATATACAGTTGGCACACTTTGCGATTCACCTTAGCGATCTGTCTGTCTATCAATCCGATCCGTGTGCTAGAAAACGATTCAGGTTGGACGAGTTGGTTGTTGGCCGTTTTTGAGTGTGTTTCTCTCGCTTATTTTCCTTGATTAAAGTTTCTTTTACCCATCGAGAGATAGAAATCTCATTTCTCTGTGTACCGTAATCAGTCTGTCAATCCATACTAGCCATGATGGGCTAGATCGTCATGTCTTTGGTCCCAACCATCTTTTTCACTTGCCAACACTCACAGTACGACATTGGTATACTGTAGGCATAGACAGGGCCAGTACGGCCTGGTAGAATAGAACTGCTGTTTCCGCTTACACAGTGTATTCTACTACCACCGTACTATGTATTGAGCAGTTGTACTGCAGATTTTTTACGCCTGCGCGTCGCCCTAGGCTAAATACAGGACAGTACTCTACAGTGTACAGTCGTCAAGAGTCAGTGGTGTACTGTACACTGTACTGTAGATCGCCAGCTAGAAGAGTAGGGGGGACGCGGAAAGCTGTCTAATGTTGAGCCAACAATGATGGTCAGGTGTGATTGTCTATTGTAGCGCAACATATGGCCAATGGCCATAGACCAAGCTTGTAGAGATAGAAAATAGAAAAATGCTCTCAAAATGTCGAATAGTAATGGTCGATACTAGACCTGACAAAGATTTGGTTAGAGAATGTCGTCAAATGAGCGTTCAGTGGCCTAAAAATGTTTACAGGCTTATCACTTGACAAGTTATTCTAGTCCATGCCGTTGTGTTTCCACGCTTAGTTGTTCCTGTTGGCACGAGGGACTTTGATATACTTCACCTAGTAGGCTTACTAGAAATCACTTTTTATTTAGGATTTACTGCATTTACTAACTTATCTGTTACAACATATTAGGGGTGCAGTACAACAGGTTATTGTATTCTTATATATATATACATAACACATGCTACCACTGAAAGCGTCTCTTTGGACGACAATGGTGGACAGTGGAGTGTACTGTATACTTGTAGAGGATAGGAATAGCCAGTGAAAGAGGGTCGTACAGTAATGACTATCAATTAGTTACTGAAATCAGACATGGACTTGTAGTGATCCGACTAGACATCAGGGATATCGGATATGCTACTGGAATTGCAATACAACTTCACAGATCTTTGCCAAACAAAATGCGGAGAAAATTTAGGGAATAGACCGGTAATGAATAGCCGGCGAAAGAGGTCATAGAGAATCGCTCTCGTTAGTTACTGATGTCAGATATGGACTTGTAGTGATCCGACTAGATATTGAATATATGCTACTGGAATTGCAATACAACTTCACAGATCTTTGCCAAATGCCATGCTAAAAACAAAATGTGGGGAAAAAAATGGAGAATAGAACGGAGTTTGATCCTGATTTTTTGAAATTTAAATTTTGGTTAACGAAGGCGTTGTGTAAGGTTTTGAAATCGATTGCGATGGTACGGATACTGTACCAACAATATGTTAGGACAGGAAATGCTGAAGGCTAATATCGCAAATAATATAATGATCAACGTATGCGTGCTTAACTACTATACAATGCGATGCTTCCTCGAGCCTTGTCCAATATCTTAGTGTAACATTGCCCATGTATTCTGTCGCTACTGTCAAGTACATCAGTAAAAGAAGAATCGCCAGTAAGATGCAACTCTGCTTACTCTAGGGTTGCTATTGATGAACTAGATAGCTTCTTCAATAGCCATTGTAGGAGTACATGACTATGCGCGTTAAATAGTGAAGTTAGAAGAAGGGAATACACGTTTATTAAACTATGCAACAGGGTATACTATATTATATTCCTGTCTTCTTTATTATAAACGGTATAAACAACCAGCCTGTAAAAAGTTTCCAATTGAATATTGTGCAATAACCTGAAAAGATTGCGCTTTTTGATATTGCCCATTCTGCCATCGAATAGATCAGTACTTTAATGGGTCACTTATCGTCTTTGAGCTCTTTTAATTATTATAGTTATTATTATAAATTTTTCGCTATTATAGTAACATTGAGCAAAGATAGTTTTATAATGGCACAATCTTCCTCGCTTTCATATTCTATCACATTTTCAATCCAATTGTAGTAGTTTTAGCTAATTACAGTAATAATTGAAGTACGGTAGTATTAAGAAGTAGAATAGTCTATTATGCTTATAAGGTAATTTCATGATTGCTGATGATTAAACAGTGAACTTATACTATTCGTACTATGTGTGTATAATGGTCTTATGTTACGTTAGAGATTTACTCAATTTTAATAACTCAGATTTTGAGTTAAACGATTGCGAACCTAAGGGGTTGTAAAACCCTAGCACTACACCAATACATATAAACAACTGTTATACACACTTACAATGAGTTGATCAGCAGACAATGCATGCACTTTATTTAAACACGGAAGCACCTATATTGAGTAGGATGTATACGGTTACATAGCTTATGCTTTTAATAAATTCATAAATTGAAAGGGAACCATCAATGTAATTCTATCAAGCTGTATGTATAAATAGACAACTAATAGGTACTGCATAAATTCTTGTGCAGGTAAAAGTG